TTTTTGTACTACTGTGCATAGAGTTGTTCAAATGACAAGTTTGCTTAATAAATTATATACGTACGAACATTATAAGGAAACACAAACCTTCCATTAAAATACCGTGATAATGGTTATGATTACTTGTCTAAAAAATGAAAGCGTAACAAATATTTTGCAAAAAAAAATTGGTACGTAAAATGAATGAGTTTATCGTTATACAATTCATTGATTTAGGATTTAAATACATTTAACATTAAACGCTAAATTTGGAATTTAAATAATTCAGTCGCCGCTTGCCACCAGCCACTATGTTGCCTCATCTTTATACATAGTAGAATTGACAATTAGGATGTAGATATGTAGAATGAAATTTATACGTACGCATATAGTTACAAACTATCAATGATCAATGAAAAGGTATCACAAACTATTTGCGATGAAATTAGCGAGCCAATTATATAACATCACGAAATTAAAATTTAATGTATCCCTTTTACACATAACAAGGTTCGATCACATTGCTACTTCAGTACTTTATGGTAGATGGATCACTTGCAGTATAAGTGACACTATTATAAACATAATAAAGCATTATTAATCAAATGATTTAAAGTAGGTGTCACTTATACTGCAAGAGATCCCAATAAGATAATAGATTTAATATTATGTTTTATCTTATTTTCACGCAATTTATTTACCAATTTATAATTCTATCTAAATAATGAATTTGCCCCAAATTTTCAAGAACTTCACTTCTTATGTGCAACATTGTGTACGTACGAATATATCTAATTCTAGTAAATATTATAATTTACCTAAATCGGGTATAAACAAAACCGTTTATAAATCTCCATATATAGGTATTTTTTTCCCGGGACTAGTAACACCAACGCGATTACTACGAATTACTAAGAATCTAGACTTTAATTAGTATTTACTAACCCTTCGAGTCATCGTTATGCAACATCAACGACAATATTTTTTTCATCTATATTGAATAAGTTTATATCGAAATGCATTATCTCTATTGATTTCTCATAAGATTCGATCCGTATTTGTTCCAATTACTAATCGATTCTAGTTGTCTTTCCTTGATTAAGCTTATCTGAAGGTATCTACGCGTATGTATCATGAAGCTTAAATAAACTTTTCGGCGTATGCATGCGCTATTTTTCATAAATCCATTGGATTATTATCATGAGCTCTTAATCGTGTATGAAAAAAAAAAATGTTATCTACAAACGGAGTAACCAGAAGAAAATGGAAACCTGTTTATTGTGGTCTTAAGAGGGAAAAATTCTATTTGCAAATCTAATGTTTTTTTTTTTATTCCCACGAATTCGGATAATTCAATCATTGTCATTATGTATTACTGCCTTTTTCATTCTTTTCATTCTTCAAATATGAAAACGAAAGATTCAAATCATATCGATATCTCTTTTAAATCCAAATTAACAATTGATTTAAATGTGCTAAATCATTATCATTAAAATCATTGAGTTCGTGTCTCTAGGAAGTTTGTTTTCAAAATATTTTATATTTTCTTTCAATGACAAATCTAAAAGTATGATATAATAATTTGTAACGTAAAATATTGTCTCAATAAAGGTTACATGAACACACATTCATATTGGGTTATATTGACGCGCACGCAATCATGAGAAATCGATCGTATCAATGAATGAATGACAATTCCACAATATATGCACTCTTCTTTTCGTATAAAAAGGACTCCAATTTGCTCTACCCTATATTTTGTTTTTCAATCCTTTTTTGACTTTTATCAAAAGTTTTTATTTTATCAAAAGTTTTTATTTTTATAATATAAAAAAAAAAAGAGAATACTTGATAATGACTCACGCTATTCAACATCTCATTAATAATTTCTTGTCTGTTCCAAGGAATTTCAGAAATATCCAAGGTTTGTAATATATTTCATATTAATATAATATATGAATATATATATTAATATATTTTACTAATATTTATAAATAGATCAACGAGGAAATTCCTTTGGATTCACTCCCTTCGATACCAATCAATTAAGACAAGCTCAAATTTTAAGTGATAACTATTTTCGTATATCTAGAGAAAATGCTTCTGATGACCCAATTGCAAAAGTAATGGAACAAGCCCAACAAGATGCTCAACAATATGATCCCGAATTGGTTCGTTACGCTCTTATGGTTTGGATCGTCCATGATCCTGAGGCTCGTAGAAGAAAGCTTAAAATTCCTCCATTAGGTCAACGTGCTCCTCATATTACTGTACCTAAATTAGTAAATGCCACTCCTGCTTCTGGTACTCCTGCTTCTGGTACGCCTGCTTCTGGTACGCCTGCTTCTGGTACTCCTGCTAATCCAGAACCTACAACAACAGATCCTCCCTTGACCAATCTAGATTGGTGGAGAGAAGATCCACAATTAAATGAACATCATGAACATTGGCATATTGTGTTCCCTGCATTTCCCGCTAATGGTGTAAGCAAGGATCGTGAAGGCGAAAACTTTGCTTTTATGCACAGGCAAATGTTGGCTAGGTAACTATTATATTATTATTATTATTATTATTAGTATTAGCTTATATTATTATTAGCTTATATTATTATTACAATCTTATTATTAATCTCAGTTCTGTTAATTAATCATTATAAATTCTATCTTTTATTACAAATTCTATCTTTTTTAATAGATACGATGCTGAACGCATTGCTGTCGGTCTTCAACCTGTTAAACCATTATCCGACTTTTCGGAACGTATCCCTGAATCATATAACCCAGATAATGATTTAGTATATGATGCTGATAATGATGCAAGCACTCCTAATGCACATTTCACTCCTCGTTCCGTTGGAAAACAACTTACTGATTTAGGTATTTTAACTTTTTTTATTATATTTCTGTACTTGTAATAATATTTATTTGACTAAATATAATAAATCTTGATTTATAAATTTTACTTAGCTGGTAATGGTCCAAAGATTTCTACCTTAATGAATTTTAGACAACAATTACTCAATGGTATTGGTAAAACCTATGGTCAAGATGACAAATCTGCAAATAAATTTGGAAACGATCTTGAAACAACATTACACAATACTGGACACGTCTTGTTGTATGTTGAAAAATAATTTTTAGATTAATTTTATTTGATATTGTCGATTGTCGAAATTTACGAAATCTTTTTTTTTTAAAAAAAAAAAACTTTAGAGCATATATAATGACTCCATCAGCTGCAAATAGTAAGTTAATCTTTTTATTATTACACAATTCGTTTGTGATATTCGTGACATTGAAATCTTAAATTAATTATTAATATTAATATTATTATTAGATGCAAATACTCCACCTGGTGTCATGATTGATCCCAGAACCGCAGCTCGTGACCCCGTATTTTGGAGATGGCATCGTCATATTGACGAAGTCTACTCTAGATGGCAAAATCAACAAGCTCCTTACAATTTCTCTGATGCTCCACCTGTTGTTATCAAAAGTACTGATATCATTTTAGCTTGGAAAGATAAATTACTTGATACTGATAAAAATGGAAGTGCTGATGGTTGGTTAAGCTATGCTAAACAAACATTTGGTGGTTCGAATTTTGATGCTGATGTTTCGAGTAACCCTGTTGTCACCAATGAGCTCCAAACTAAGATGAAATCAAGGCAATTTGTTTGGACTGAAGATGATAATAGTTCTCAAGTTATTAATTATTTATATCCACGTGAATATCTCTATTTCTTCAGAGTTCAGAACACGTCAAATCAGGTATTTACATTTACCGTTACCGTTACATTTATATTTACATTTACATTTACATTTGCATTTGCATTTGCATTTACTTTAACATTACGTTAACGATTTCTTTTTATAAAAAAAGAATGTTGATATTACTATACGTGTTTTCCTTGCACCTGAAGAACTTGTTAACTCTCGTGTTCACTGGATTGAACTTGACAAGATTAAACAAACATTAAAACCAAACGAAAAAGCTGTATTTTCTCAAAATTGTGATGAATCTGTAGTCATTCGAAAACCTGCTCAAAAAACTTCTGATGAAATGGACAAAACTGCTATAACAATCACTAAACGAGAGGAAACAGGTGGTTTATCTGGTGATAAAGAAGCTGAAGCATTCTTTTGTGATTGTGGATGGCCATTCAACCTTTTATTGCCACGTGGTACTAAGCAAGGGTTTAAATATAAACTATTTGTTATGATTACCGATGGTGCTAAAGATACTGTAAAACCAAAACATTCAAATGTTGCTCCTAGAAAATGTGGAAGTTTAAGTTTCTGTGGTAATTATATTTTTTAAACAAATTCTTTAACCATTTCTTTAAATCATTTCCTTAAACATTTCTGATTTCTTGATACATTTTTGTAGGTGCTCAACAATGGGATGAATTATACCCTGATGCTCGTAGAATGGGTAAGTTTTGCAAACTAACATAATAAACGTATACTTTGCTAGATTTATTTCTAAATTTATTCATATATATATTCTATAAACTATTTAGGTTATCCATTTGATAAACCATTCAAAAACGACTCTTTTGAGCAAACTTTTGCTGGTTTGAAGAACGTTGCAGTTCGTGATGTTACTATCAAATTGGTTGATAACTTCCCTGATGTTTAATATTAATTTTTAGGCTACAAAACAAAATCTTCGATTTTTTTATTCATTATCATTGTAATATTTTTGCATTTTTTATCATTAATTTTATAAGCAATGTATATATATGCATCTTTATATTTTTTGGCAAAATCTCGAATTCTCATCTTGAATTTTTATTATGAACACATTTTTTCTTTCGTTTTTGAAACAAATTTAAATAATTTCGTGAAATTTAAATCATTTCGTGTTTCTTTCTAAGATATCTTGGGGGGAACAACTTTTGTATATTTAAGCAATCTTATCATACGGATATTATGAAACCATTTTTTTTTAAAAAAAAAAAAAATCTTCGAGTATTTTTTTTCGTATACTTTTCTAAAAAATATTTTGGGGAAAAAAAAAATTGTATACGTATTAAGAAATCTTTTACTTACGACATTATGATAATATCTATTACACAGTTATTATTATGTTAATAAAAAATTTACAGTATTATGATTGTTGGATGAATTAATATAAAAATTTTGATACGTATTTATATTATTGATTTTTCATAAATGGTTGAAACTAAAAAAAAATAATATTTTTTTAATGATAATATATATGTCTTATTTTAATTTCTAATTAAAATTATCATAATCATTGACAATCCGTTTTTAAATTATCAAAATTTGATCATTTAATAATTAATCAATTCTATATATTTTAATGCTAACTTATCCTTAATACCAAAAAAAAAAAAAAAAAGCTAACTTATACGATGTATATAATTAGTTTGTTGGTTGACTTTAAAACTAATAATTTGGAAACTTCTTATTTAAATACTTTCAATATTTTAAATAAATTTATAATCATGACTTCTTTTCAGCTAAAATCAATACACTACAAAAAGATATTGGCAACAATTCATCTTCATGCCAACCTTCAGCTTTTTTCATATTAGAAATTAGTTCATCGACAGGATCCTTATCGTTTGGATGTTTCTCTAAATAATTCGAATAAGCACTTATTGTCTTTAAAATAAAATGAATAAATGTACTTTAATTAACTGTGTAATTTAAATTTATTTTTTCTGAGAAAAAAACCTACCCTCAAATAATTTCCATATTGAGAAAGACTCCAATTAACTACGATATGTTGATTCTTATCATCATTATTTTCTTCATCATATATTTCCCATTGAACATTTTGATACAATTCTTCAGGAAATTTAATATCTTTATAGAAATTATTAACTGTATATATACCTTTCTCAAAATAAGGACCCAAAAGATTCATACGAAATTCTCTTGATAATTTAGTTGCAATAGGAGCATTTTTAAAAATACCATACTTATAAGCCCAAATGGCTAAAGTTCCATTTGGTTTCAATACACGAAAAGATTCCAAAAAAAATTTTTTTAAATCAAACCAATGAAAAGCTCCTGCAACTGTTAATAAATCAATTGAAGAATCTTCAAAATATGATAAATCTTCAGCTTTTCCAATTAAATATTGAATATTTGATTTATAAATTGCATTTTGTAACATTATTGATGATAAATCAATTCCATAAACTTTTTCAAATGAATTTGATAAAATATTGGCTGCTTGTCCTGTACCAGTTCCTACATCTAATGCAATATTAAAGGTTCCATTATTTGATTTATGATAATTATAAATCTTTTCAAATAATCGTTGCGTATAACTAAAATAATAATAATAATAAATAATTAATATATATAGATTATAAATTTTTTATACTTTTTTTTTTATATCACTTTTATATCACTTGTATTAAAAAAAAACTCACGAACGTACATAGGGCGATAAGAGATGTAATTTTTGCTATTAAAATTTACTTTAGAAAAAGTTGACATTTTTATTTTTATTTTTTTTTGAGGAAACGAATTACATACATAGCATTTTTATACATATCAATGTTGTACGATGCAAAAAAATATACAATCAAGTGTAATGAGCTATCCCAGTAGAACGAATCTTGCTATATATGATTTGTATAGGTCAGGGACTGACAAAAATTTACACAAAATCCAAAATTTTGGTTTTTTTTAACAATTTAGTATTTATAAATAAAATTGCTTTTAGTCACATGAAATAATTAGCTATGATGCGGATCTTTAATAGTCATGTGATATGGCCAAAATTATATGTTAATTTCGTAATGCTGGCCAAAATCCAATTTTTTTCAAATTTTGATATCCAAATTTTTGATGGCCCCTGGCAAGTAGAGTTTAGGGCACAGGGGCATGGGGCATGCCCTTGTCATGTGATGTTTAAAGTTATTTTAATTGGCTAATAAGTTCAGGTAAACTAGAACCGTAGATACTAAATCAACATGTAAGATTTTTAAGAAGTTGTGAACTATGTGTTAATCACATGATTTAAAAAGGGCATGCCCATGGGCATGAGGGGCATGCCCATGGGCATGAGGGGCATGCCCATGGGCATGAGAGGCATGCCCAATTTTTTTCCCATGCCCTGAACCCTACTGGCAAGGTTGGGTAAGCTACATATCCAGTGCTTTTTTACTGGACACTGGACATTTCCCAGTGCATGTCCAATGTCCAGTGGTATATTTTATAAAAAAAAAAAATTTAAAATTGCTCAGAGCATTACATATCTGGTCAGATAACTAGTACTTTCGAAGAATTGCTCGAACTAATTCTTAAAAAAAGTGATCAAAAATTCAAAGCTGTAATGCATTATGCCTTCGATTTTAATTTTAAATTTAAAATTTGAATTGATTACATAAAATTTTTTCACTATCTAGTATGTATATAATTAAAAATTCTGTTAATCATACATTTAGAAAAATTAATGAACTACTGATTTGAGCAAAAAACGTTTCTAGTTTATAGAATGAGACTATTATATAAATCAAAAAAAATTCAATAAATAATGCGATAGCATTAGTAAAACTTTAATTTCGGCACTTGATATACAGTATAACATAGTTAAACTTACATGATGATAAGCCGTAACTAATCTTGAAATTAATTTAACATCCAGCGTTATCAATTGATTATTTCTATGCTGCAGCTACGCACTTTGGGAGCCGCCCCAATGATCCATAAATGGAGATAACCTGACATTACTAACCTTTTGTCCTAACTATATTTATTATAAGACCGAAATACCGATCTTTTCTAGCATCGCCATAAAAATTCTACTATCATGTGATGATCAACAACTTCCTTAAAGTTCATTTAGGTTAGGGTTAGCATTCTAATAAGGTTAGAAATTAGTTAGGTTTATAGTAAATTGCTTAAGAAATTTTTTTGTTAGAGTACAAAAGGTAGTTTCTTATTCAAATTTTTGAGAAATGTGCAATTTTTGACAAATAACAAGTCTTTAATGTTTGGTTTGAATTTTCCTGATCATGTTATATTAGACCAAATCATGGCTCATTATTAGTTAATTTATTATTAATCATTATGTGACAATAGAATTTTTATAATAATACTGAGGCACAGAATCTACAGACAGTACTTTTTTTTTTTTGTTTAATGTTAAGGCGAGTATTTGCGATCCAGAAGTTTATTGGTAATCTGTTAGCATATAACTATTGTATACAACAGCTACAGAGGCAATCATGGAAAGAGTATACAACTAGTCACTTGTACAACTTTAGTCATTGTCTATTTTAAGTAGTCCACCCAAAGGTTTTACACTAGTTGTCATACCTAGAACCTGCCTATGGGTTCTCTATTTAAACACTCTAGTTCCTGTATTCACTCTGCTCTACCAACTGCAAATTAACTGCAAATATGTCATAGTCACTAAGTCATATTTAACTTTGTACTAAACCTACTATAACTTTCTGTATTTCATATTTATAGTTAACTCAGTATTGCTTTGGTCTAGATCATCACTTGCAGTTAGAATTAACCTTTAAATTGTTATACCCTTGTAAAATTTACTAGGATCTTAATACCTTTCTTTTTTACCTTTCATCCTTTATTTCTGAACTTATAAGACTTTACAAACTATCAATCCAGATGGTCCAGTATGGTATCTTAAGATTATTTTTCTCTGGTAGTTCCTGGTGGTCTAGTTGATATATGCTTTTCTACGTATATTATTATCTAATTCATCTTAGTTATCCTTTTTTAGGGCCTTCTAATGGTTTAATAGTACTATCAAAAGTCTATATTACCTTTTTATTCAGAATTTTCAAATAGATTTTTGTGTTTTAGTTTTTTAGTATTATATATCTAGGATCTTATTATAAATTTGCATCGGAGTCTTATGTAATATCAGTTATTAACATTCTTCTATATATATATAATATTACATTTTGTATAAGTGTTTTAAGCTTCTATTCAAGATAGTGTCTCTAAGATTACAGATTATTTTTTTGTCTAACTGATTGACAAGATATAGTTACTATAACACTAATATAATTTTTAAATTTTGTTATCTATAAAATTTGAACACTAGATCTGCCACTTAGAGATTGACAATTTGTCCATTTTACTAGGTCATTACATCCTATTAGACAGTACTTAGAAACAGTATAATTATATAATATAATATAAAATCTTCTGAGAAAATATACTGACACAATATGTATATAACTTATTTTCTTTATTAATATACAATTATTGATATGAATATCTTATTTTTAACTAATCAATATTGTTATTACAGCACTGTTTTTTAAAATTAAAAAAATCAAAAAATAAAAATTAATATATAAAGTAATATAATAATATGTAAAATCAAAAAATAAATAATAGGGGTGAGGCGACCTAGTGAAGTGGTCAGGTTGTCAACCCTCCAAGTGGTAGGTTGGGTGTTCAAATCCCATCGACGGCGAAAA